TTGAAAGTCTTTTCAAAGCTTCACAAGGTAAGTTAGTTTTTCAGACAAAAATCAAACAAATTACATAAAATTGCCATAAATAAGGTTCAATAAGACAGATTATTGAAATTTCCTTCAACCATGTCAGTAAGAGCAATCATTTTACTCTCTTTTGCAGACTAAGGAAACTTTGACAAGAAGCTTCAAGATGCCACGACCAAGCTTTTTCAAGAAGCAATATTATCGTGGGCAACTGGAGATCTTATGTGCCCAGTCTATCTTGAACGACCACCTTAAGAACGGTGATGGCCCTGCGACACTGAAAAAATACTATGAATGGGAAGCACTTTCAATTATACCTGATTTGCAAAGTGTTGCATGGAATGATTCTAGAAAACTGTGTTCTTTGGGTTTTGACAGCAAGTTAAATTACCTCTCAATACATATAAGTGAGTGTAAAGGTGATTGGTATCCTCTGAATCCAAAATCCCTGAAGATAATTATTGAATGGGAAGTTGAATCGGCTGAAGAAAAATTGAAAGAATTCATCACGAACCTGAAACAGAAACCAAACTATGTCATTCTTGATACGTGGCGGGAAGATATTCTGGTTGAATTACCTAATTATAGATTAATAGGCTTTACCTTTGAAAACAAGAAAGAACCAGCAATCTGTGATTGTGAGTGGTCGTACAAATTGATAATTTAAAGTAGTTTTTTTTAAGATCATTGTCATTAGTTATTGTTGTTATTATTTAAAGACAATACTAAAGTTTATATTTGTTAATCTGATGTTTAGAAAATGATAGAAAAATCCTAAGTGTTACAACATTAATTTGTTTTGATAACTCGCAAACTACTGTTAATGTCTTTTGACATATCATACTCAACTCGAGATTGGAGCCGGAAAGTATACTGTTAAAGAAAGAAGAATCAGTCAAATAATAATATGAATATTAACAAGCTGGCCCGCCCTTATACTAAAGAAGTGAATGACATTTGCATAACTATTTATTGCTGGAAAGGCAAACTTACCTAGAATTTAGAAAGCCGAAAAAAGTGACGAGGCAGGTTGATGCAGTGGCGCGGCGCACAGCTCGTTGTTGTCTGGTTACACTAAAAATGGGGTTTTCATTGTTACCATTCAATGACGAAACGTTTAAAGCTGACCGACTATTGAGTTGCGATAAATGAAGCGGGTAAACAGAAAAATAAATACCTCATTATGCGTCTCACTAGAATCAATAGGGTGTTCCAGGATATCTAAAACGGAAGAGAAAAAGAACAAACTCACTGATTTACCTGTTTCCGCCCGTTCAGTATGAGAAATTACCATGGTAGTTTGGTCCGATTCTAACCTCTCAAATATGGAGGGGACCTCGAAACCGATCTGACAGTTTTTCATATCAGAAAGGCCGTAGCGGGACGTGACCAGCTCGACCAATCAGAGCCATCACGGAACCAGAAAAGTCAGTGAGCTTGTTCTTTTCCTACTTCCGTTTCGGATAGCCTGGAACACCCTATTAACCGCTGAATAGCTCGTTACGAAAAATTATGTATATTCACGAATTAACACAACTACACAACATACCTATCACTAAAATGAACACGCCATAGCGAACGAGTGAGCGAGCGACGCGAATTCTATAACGAAAAACCTGAGCATTTATCTAAAACACCACCTTTTCGGAATTGGCGCCGCGATCTCTCCCTTGGGGGTGTCTAGTATATGTACGCCAGACCACGTCTCGCGTAACAGGCTTCGCGATATCTCACGAAACACTGTTACGCTGCGACGCGCCTAGCGCACATATAGCTAGGCCTGCGGCGCTGACACCCGAGACGAGTTAAGGAGAGAGCACAGGGGAACAGAGCCTTCCGGGCCCAAAATTTGACATACTCGAACCATTTGTCGGGGTCTCACTCTAAAGTTAGGGACATGAAACTTCTGCTGTTCGGTAACGGTTTTCATTCATTTCGAATTTTGACAGATTGGTATGTAAAAATCAACGTTTTAGTGATACCAGATAATCTTGGGACCCTATAGCCCAAAAACAGGGTGCGGTTCGACCCGTAATATGTGGTTGAAGTATTACTCCCTTTACAATTCTGTGACATAAAGCCTTTTTAACAATTGAATAGACCATTTTATCTTTTACACGTTGTTTTCGCCAAGAAATGCCCCATAGCGCTGAAACGGTACAAGATAGAGCAAAACGGACGACATTTTCGCCCGTCCACAGGGTTCTACTTTCACGAGTTACCCCTTAGAAGTCCCTAAAAAAATATTTGAAAAAAATAATATTTTGCGACCTGTGGTTTTTGATTTTTTTAAAAGTCAATTTTTGAGCTACAATGCTCGTCTTCGAACTCGATCTGTCTTTTTATGATACAAAACGACCCTGAAATTCCCGGATCGCTCTCTCAATTCTTTCTCGTGCGGACAGACAGACAGACAAACAAACAGACAAACAAACAAACAGAATGAAACTTTTCCGGTCAGTAGAGTTAAGGGCTTCGCTAATCGCTCAGCCAAAAATATTTTGTGAGCTGCGGTTTTTGATTTCTTTTAAACGGCCGAAATGTTAGTCCTAAGGGCCCGACCTTCACGATTTACCCCTTAGGAGACCATCAAATATTTTGTAAAATTAATATATTTATTTTTGGACCACTTTTGTGAGAGAAACTCCCCCTAGCGTCTCAACGGTGAGAGATAGAGCCAAACGGACGGAATAATTGTAATCCCGAGGTTTCTTCATTCACAAGTTACTTCTAAGGAAACAATTTTTTTTCCCACTTCTTAGACCAACCTCCTTTTGTTTGTTACCCCCCATCACCCCCTTAGGGGTCGTTCACAGGCTCTGCACCAGCCGTTTCGTTGTCCAGAAGTACCACCAATGATACCCTAGAAATTTCAGACATCTTGCTCACGCCCTTCTTGAGGAATGTACAGACGGACTGACGGACAGACACAGGGGCGATGGCATTAGCCCGCTTATATAGCTTTTACAAAGCAGAAGAGCGGGCTTAAACAAGGTAGATATACGCCAGACCACGTCTCGCGTAACAGGCTTCGCGATATCTCACGAAACACTGTTACGCTGCGACGCGCCTGGCATAC